AAGAAAGGCACCCCCCATACAATTAGTAAGAGGGTCTTTGCCCCATGCACAGTGTGTGTGTGGCTCTCCTCACCTTCAGGTGCCCTCATACTTGTCCTCACAGAGGGCCTCTAACATGTCTATATCGCAAACACTTCCAAGTCTTCCACATTTCTCAGGCTCTATCCCACCCAAGTCCATCAATCTGTCTATCTGTCCATTCATCCATGCATCCACCTCTTCCTCCCTCCACCCACCTAGTCTACTTCACTCTCTTAATGAACATTGAGTGCTTTTCTTCTGTACCAGGAACAGGGGTATAAAGATAACGAGGAATTGGTGCCTGCCTTCCAGCAGCCTTTGCATGTGGTAACAGAGAAGATTTACTAATAGGTACCTTCAAGAGGTGTAAGAACAGCTAGGGGAGTAGCTGGTACCAGGTTCAGAGGAGGACGTGAAAGCATGGGCTTTGGGCATGGGGTACCTGGGTTTCAAATTCTGACTCTACCACTGACAGCTGTGTGACCTTGGGTAAACTACTAAACATCTCTGTGTCTCAGTCTTCTCACTGTAACATGGCACCCCATTGTGCTTCCCTTAGAAGGTGGTGGTTCTGCTTATCTATTGCTGCCTACAGCTAGCCATTTTATTATGTTTCACGCTGTCCTGGGTCAGTTGCTCAGGCTGGGTCCTCCACTTGGTGCATCTGCTCCACATTGTGTCAGCTGACGTCACTCAATGGTGTTCAGCTGGCCTGGAGGGGCCCGGAAGGCTTCACTCACACATCTGGCACCGCAGCTGGGCTGACTGAAAGGCTGGGTTCAGTTGGGATGGTTGACTAGAGTACTCACAGGTGGCCTTTGTCTCCAGCATGGCAGCCTCATGTAGACAGCCTTCTTGTGTAGCATCCCAGGGCTCCCAAAGAGAGCATGCCAGGAGATGGGAGTGGCAACGTCTTTTAAGGTCTGGGTCACAGCATCATTCCTGCCACATTCTACTGGTCAAAGCAGACCCAGAGTTTGTCTGGATTCAAGGCGAGATGACTAAGACCCCTCCTCTCTGTGGCAGGGGTACAAAGAATTTGTGGCCATTCTTGAAGCCACTGTAAGTATGTAAAAATTAAATGAGTTAATACATGGGAAGTAGTTAGAGCAGTGACTGGGAGGGCAGGGTTCCAAGTAAATGGTGGTGTTTGCACATATGACTTACGGGCAATTTTATGAGAGTCATGGTGTTTGCTAATCAAGGTAGATGCTCAGACTAATCAACATATGTAAAACATATAACTGACTAGTAATTAACAAGACACACTCTCCCGGAGCACCCTAGAACAACTTGGTGGGAGACAGAGGGCAAGATGTCACTCGGGGGCCTCTCCCCTGCCTTAGGACATGCAGAGTCTGCTTGGAGTGGCTACTTGTATGGTGCCCTGGGCTCACAGATCCCTGAATGCACAGATGAGCAGAGTCGGCTTTCAGCTGCCTGTCTGAGATTCCCTTCCCAGAGCCCATTGCCTAATTGGAAAGGGCCATTTCAACATCTTAGCAGAAAATGGAGTTTTTCTTTCCTTGATGCTGTGATTTGACTGGGAGTTAGCAAAGCATCAGTAGAATCCTAAACGTCTACTTAAAAAAATCAAGCCTTCATCTCAGCCTGGCGCAGGGTTCCTGCTCTCCCTTTGTGGGAGGAAGATAAAACGCTTTCATGCGTGTCCTCCCGCCTGCGAATGCAGGCTGGTTAAACATTTCTGGTAATGGCTCAGCTATGGCAAGGATTTTATCTTTTCCCAGGAACAGTTCCTGCCTTAAAAGGGCTTCCACAGGGAATAGCCATAACGCATATGCAGAACTCAGGCTGAGGGAATCTTCAGGGAGGAGAGAGTATCTCAGAGTGCCAGGTACAGCCACAGTGTGGACCTGGGGTGCCTGGTGCTGTGCTGGGCTCATTATGTACATCACCTTATTTAATTCTCATGAAATGGCAAGCTGGGATGGGACGGGGAGACATGAGGGTTATTTTTATTTTTTGTAGTTGAAAAACCTGGAGCCCAGAAAGGTAAAGTAAGAGACCAGAGGTCAAGCCCGGAACGTGAAGTAGAGCTGCAATGTCTGCTCAAGAGTGTCTGACATCTCTGCTTTTTACTCTGCCAGGGTAAGCATGGAGGTCTTTCCACCCCTGTCATTGCCTTTTACCCTGTTACTAACTTTTGTAAGGCCCAGGCCTCGGGGGGCCCCCACTCTGGGGTGGACCCATGACTGGTGGCACAGCTTGGTTGTATGGCTTACTTAGGAAGACCTCAAAGCATGGCATATGCTAAGTCTGAATATGGGCACAAAACCAGGGCAGAGCTCTCAAGGTACATTACAGGGTAAAGAAAGGGAGTAGGGAGTATTTTGACAGCCTTAGAAGGAGGGAGCAGATAAATGATGGTGCTGCCTGGGGAGCCAAGAGCTGCAGGTTCACATCCCAGCCATGTTATTAAGTCACTGTGGCATGGCCTTGGAAAAGTCTCCTCTCTACCTGGAACCTCAATTTCCTCTTTTTTTTTTTTTTTAATTTGAGCAGAGTCTTGCTCTGTCACCCAGGGTGGAGTGCAATGGCGTGATCTGGGCTCACTGCAACCTCCGCCTCCCAGGTTTAAGTGATTCTCCAGCCTCACCCTTCTAAGTAGCTAGAATTACAAGTGCCCACCACCACACCTGGCTCTGTTTTGTAATTTTAGTAGAGATGGGGTTTTGCCATGTTGGCCAGGCTGGTCTTGAACTCCTGACCTCAGGTGATCCATTGGCTTTGGCCTCCCAGAGTGCTGGGATTACAGGCGTGAGCCACCACACCCAGCAATTTCCTCATTTTTAAGTTGAGAGAATGTGCTCTAGCTCTTCTTTGGTTCCTTTTAGTCCTGAATCCGCGAGTCTATCAGGGCTGCTGCATTCAGTTGCATGGGTTGTACACTGCACAACTCCAGGTAGGTGCTGCTCACAGACTGCTGCTGCAGGGGCCCTAGATTCTATAAAGAGGAATATAGATGGAAGAGATGGGAAGCAAGGACCTGAGAGAGCAGCAAAGAGGGGAGAGGGGCTCCAAGCAGAGAGAAAAATGGCCTGTAACCACTCTTTTCTCCAGTCAAGAAGTAGATGAGTCTTTATACTGCACAAAGGAGTGGAGGCAGGCCTGTGAGGTTGGTCACTAATCATACATGTGATCAAGCCCAGTTTGATTAGCTCTGATTTTAGAGGGATAGACTTGGTCCACTAGGGGAGGAAGCAAAGCCAAAACAGCTGAGATAATGCTCATGGACACTCCCTCAGAGGGCCATAAAAACAGTGCAGAAACTAACCGTGGTGAGATACCTGCAGAAGCAGCTCTGCTCATGAGAACCCTGAGGGCCCCCGCTCTGCCCCACCTCATCCTCCACCCCCTAGTTCATCTGCCAGTGTGCTGGTCTCCCTAGGGTTTGTTCCGCTCCCTCTTATCACTGCTTGCTATGCGTTGAATATATTTGCATAGTTGTTGTCCTGTGAAAGCCTCACAATGAACCATGAATTCAAAAGCATTTAATTGGCCTTTGAGTCATTGTGAAACCTCTCAGCCCTGGTCAGAATTAATACAACTATGCTGACTTGAACCTGACATGATATGGGGGTAGGTTTGTTGTAAAAGTGATTCCAGCCCTCTCTTCTGCCATTTCCCTCTTTCTTTGACCTTCTGCCACGGGATGATACAGCAAGAATATCCTCACAAGTTGCTGCCTGGCTCTTGGATTTCCCAACTCCAAAACTATGAGCCAAATATATCTCTGTTTATTATAAATTACCCAGTCTCAAGTAATCTGTTATAGGAGCAGAAAACAGACTAAGACAGAGCATTGGTACTAAGAATTGGGGCTGTTTCTATAACAAATGTTTGTAAATGTGAAAGTAGCTTTGGAACTGGATAATGAGCAGAAGCTGAGAGAATTTGGAGAAGCAGGTTAGAAAAAGGCTAGATTGCTGTGAATGGACCATAAAGGATGATTCTGGTGTGGCTGCAGAAGACGAAAAGAGCTCAGGAAAGTCAGAACCATCTTAGAGATGACTTAAGTGGCTATAATCAGAATGTTGGTAGAAACATGGGCAGTAAAGGCCACTCTGATGAGGTTTCAGATGGAAAAGAGGCATATCTTATTGGAAACCAATATAAAGGCCATCCTTGTTATGAGGTGGCAGCAAACTTGGCTGAATTCTATCCATGCCCAAGGACTTTATCAAAGGCAGAATTTCTGAGTGATGAACTAGAATAACTAGAGGAAGTAGTTTCTGAGCAAAATATTGAAGGATCTGCACGGCTACTTCTAAATGCACATGGTAAGATGCAAGAGAAGCAAAATGATTTAAAGACAGAATTTTAAGCAAGAGGGAAGCAGAGCAGAAAGAGTTGGAAGATCCAAAGCCTGGCCACATAGAGTGAAAAGGCATATATAGGAGAACAAACCAAGGGTGTGGCCAAGTGACCATTTGCTAAATCAATTAAGATGGATAGAAAAGAGCCAAGTACTATTCATCAGGGCAATGAGAGAAAGACCCCAAAGGCATTTCAGAGATATTGAAGCTTTCCCTCTCATCACAGGCCCAGAGCAGGACCATAAGGTCAAGATTTTCAGAGAGGCATCTATCTGCAGGACTTCAGCATTTGCTGCCCTGCACTGACTTGGGGCTCTGTTCCCCAAATTCCAGCATAGTGACCCTTGGCCACCTTAGCCATGGCTTAAGCAGACCCAAGTGCACCTTGATCTGCCAACTCTGGAAGGTATAAACCATAAATCTTGGCATTGTCTGTGTGGTGCTGACCCTATAGGCATGCAGAATTCACAAGCTGGAGCCATGGCAGCCTCCATCTGGATTTCAAAGGATGTCATGAACAGCCTGGAGGCCCAGGCAGAGACCTGTTGCAGGGATAGAACTACTTTGGAGAGCCCCAACTTGGGCAATGCCTAGCGAAGCCGTGGGCGTGGGGTAGCGCCCAAAACCCTAGGACTGTAGGGCCTTTCTTCTTGCCTGTTTCTCCCTTTTAGAATGGGAATGCCTATCCTATGCCTGTTTCACCACTGTATTTAGATGTAGATAACTTGTTTAATTTCATAGACTGATAAGTAGAGAAAATTTTGCCTCAGAATGAATCATGCCTTGATCTCATCTATATCTGACTTAGATGAGACTTTGGACTTTTGACTTTTGAGTTGATGCTAAAACAAGTTAAGAGTTTTAGGGCTACTGAGATGGAATGAATGTATTTTACATGTGAAAAAGACATGAATTTGGGGGGCCATGGGTGAAATACTAAGGTTTGAATGTGTCCCCTAGAAAGGCATGTGTTGGAAACTTAATTCTCAATGTAACAGAGTTGGGAGGTAGAGCTTTAAGGCGTGATTAGGTCATGAAGGCTCTGCCCTCATAATGGATTAATTTTATTGTGAGAGTGGATTTGTTAGAAGAACAAGTTCAGCCCTCTCTTGCTAACCTTCACTCTCTTTTCCTCTCTTGCATATGATGAAGCAGCAAGAACATCCTCACGAGATATGGCCCCTCACTCCTGGACTTCCTAGCCTCCAGAATTATGAACCAAATACATTTCTATTTGTTATAAATTACTAGGTATTGGTAGAGCAGTAGAACACAGACTGAGAAAGGCTATGCTTCCCTCCACAGACTGAAGGTTCCTTGTTGTCAGATGCTGTGTCTATATTCTGTGTTCATTTGTTTGATAATTGCTGAGGACCTACTAAGTGCTAGCACTGCTCTAGGCTCAGAATACTATGTTGAAAAGACAGACAAAATCCCTGGTCTCATGAAGCTTACAATTTAGTTGTGGGAAATGACAATAAACAACAAATAATTTTAAGTTACAATAAGTACAGGTATTGATCGACTTACCACCTATGCAACTTACGACCATTAGACTTTACGACCGCAATCGCTAGCCACGACTGCTCCGCGTCTGGCAGCGCAAACGTTGCCCAGCTGGGCGTACGACAGTGCGGACCAGCTTCCAGCAGCACTACCATCTCCGCGTACACCATTTCAACTGTACATATGGCCTACTCAACTTACAATCAAATCATATTACGACCGGTCCGCGGTCCCGACCGTGGTCGTAAGTCGAGCACTAGCTGTACTAAGAAGCAAATAAAAGCAGCGTAATTGTAATGGTAGGAGTGTGGTGTTCAATCAATCAAGGTTGATTAAGCCAGAGCTTGGGGGTGCGCCTGGGAAAAACACAAGTCACAGATGGATCTACGGATGTTTTTGCCAGAAACATTTTTTTTTCAGGAGGCTTAATATTTATATACTTTCTTAAAGGGGGAAAGGAATGTCAGGAGGTATGGTAAGTGAAAGAATGATTGATCTAATGTTGTCTTTGTTCTGTACCTGCAAAGATAAGCAGCATCACTCTGAAATCTAACAGACTTTAGTTTAGGAGCTACACTTAGATTGCAGCCCTAAAGTTGTAATTGACATGTTCTTGTCTCGTAGGAGGATAGGCACCTTGAAACGGTTCAAAAGCATCTGGAGATACTAGAGGATTTTTGCCTTTCTGTGCGAATCTGTTGGATAACACTTTGACACGATGTTGTGGAGTGACAGCTATTCATTCGGGGAAAAGATGGCAGTGTTGGGTCACTCAGTCTCCAGGCTTAACTTCTTCTTTGGCATAACGAGTTTGTGGGTCCTGAGATTTTTTTATTTTCTCTTACTGGGTGTATGTGTCTATTTCAACTGGCATGGTTTGGGCAGCCTCTCTGAACAGGGGCTTCTTTTTTTTCTCTTGAAATAGAGACTTGCTCTATCGCCCAGGCTGGAGTACAGTGGCACGATCTCTGCTCACCGCAACCTCTGCTTCCTGGGTTCAAATGATTCTCCAGCCTCAGCCTCCTGAGTAGCTGGGACTAGAGGCACATGCCACCACACCCAGTTTATTTTTTGAGTTTTTAGTGGAGGCGCGGTTTTACCATGTTGACCAGGCTAGTCTCAAACTCCTGGCCTCAAGTGATCTGCACACCTTGGTCTCCCAAAGTGCTGGGATTAGAGGCATGAGCCACCGTGCCCAGCCAGAGGCTCCTGAGATGAAATCTGAATGATGAAAATGAGCCAGCTATGGGAGGAAGATGTGGGTGAAAAGCAATTCTTCCAGTCAGAACTGACTGCAATTGTGAAGACTCTGAGATAGGAGAGAGGAAAAGAAACGTCAGTGTGTCTGGACTTACTGCGTGAAGAGGGTAACACAAAGATGAAGTCAGAAATGTTGGGTTGGGCAGTATGGAGATCATTCAGGGCCTTGTTGGTCACTAGGAATAGAAGCTTGCAGAGAACAGGCTAGGCCTCCCATCCTAGGGGGTCTCCCTGAACCCCTGAACTTTCTATGGTTTCTGTCTAATATTCTGATGGATATCTGAACATCTGAATGTAAGGACATTGCCCCGTCTCATGTTCCTCTGCCCAGGACACAGAGCTCCGTTGACCCCAAGCAATAATGGAGGAGTATCCTGCCCATTTCCTTCCTGCAGCTGCCTCTGGGTGCAGACTCACTGACAACACTCCCTACCCTTTCCCAGCTTCATTATTGCAGTGTTGGTCCCCAGAGCTCAGCCACTCACTTCCTGCCCTTTAGCACAATCTTAGTAAAGCCAGAGAGGGAAAGACCTTAATCCAAAGTCTAGATTTACAAACAGCGTGCCTGCAAAGCATGCAGCCTGGCAGACTTAGAAGAGGTGGGCCACCTTCAGCCTGTCTTCCACACCTGGCAGTCATCACTGGAAACCCCAGTGCTTCTTCCATGCCCCTACAGCTCAGACAACCTAGAACAAACATCAGTGAAGACCTGTCCTTGTCACATCCCCCACCAATGGGCTGTTAAAAGGCCAGGTTGGAAAGTCACAAGGACCCATTGTTGAAGTCTGGCAAGTTACTTAACTTTTCCTCAGTTTCCCCATCTGTTAAACAGAGATAATAGTATATACTTTTCAGGGTTGAAATCAGATAACTACTTGGCTCCATATGTTAAAAGGGGCAAAAATGATTACACTTAGCATGTGCTGGACACAGTGCTTCATGATATCTCATTTAATCATCATAGCTATCCTAGCCCAAGGAGGAAGATGCATTAGAATCCTCATTTCTCAAATGAAGATCCTAAGGTGCAGAGAGGCTACACAGATCTTCAGGTTTGCCACCTATCAGGTAGTGGTTCTCAGCCGAGGTTGGTACTGTCTCCCTAGGGGACATGTTAAAACATGGGTGTGAGCTTTTGGGTTGTCACGCTGGCTGGAACCACTGGGGTTGGGAGAGGGGGCAGGAGGGATTCCTAGTAAATGTGCCCCTATGGCAATATATGTTTCTTATAATGTGTTGAATAGTCCTACTCAGAAAAAACGAACCAGCCCTGTTTTGAGAAACACTAATTACAGCACAATCCGACATTAACAGATAAGGAACAGAGTTCCAGATAAAGTGATGAGTACAGATCCACTTGGTGCATCGGAGCAGAGGTAGGACAAGAGCCAAGCCCCTTTCTTTACTACCAACCTTTACCATGCGGGTCCCAAGCCGGATTTTGGACCAGGCCAGTTGGCAGCAGTGGGTTAGTGCTTCCTCTCAAAAATCCATTGGGAATAGCCCTGTGATTTCCCCTTCCCAGCCTGAGGAAAACTTGCCGCCATCCCCCCCACCCCTATCCTCTGGCTAGAAAGATGTTCTCAGTTATCTTTGATTGGGTTCTCAGATTTCCATCGCCCAAAGCCAATTTCCACAAAGGGAAGGTGTCAATAATTACATTTCTCCTCTTCATACCCTGTAATTAATAACTGTGATTAATCTGGCATACTTAGTCAAATATTGCGGGGGCCTAATTGGCTGCCGTGCCTTTCTTCTTTTGATTGAGACAATCCTCTTCTTGGCGGTTCTGCAGCCAGCTGCAGTGAACTCAGCGGGCCCTGTCAAAGGCTTCCGCTTGGCAATTTGCATGACATTTTGGGAGGCAAAGCTGAGCAAAGGGGTGGGGGAGCTGAGCCTTATGCGTTGGGGCAGAGGGGATGAGATTAGGGGTCCCCTGGATCCTGGGCAAGGTGTTGGAATAGATCTGTTTCACCTTGGACTTGCGCTGATCAAGACAGAGCACCTCAGGGTTTATTTCAGTTCTAGAGTCAAGGTAGCCCTGCCCTCTCCTTTCGCAATGGATGTGAGAGGGTTTAAGGGAAGGTAGTCTGGTTCCCTCCTCTTCTTGCCCCAGGTGGGCAAGAAGTTTTTTTCTCTTGGGGTAGTGGGGAAAACACCATTGTAACTCTAGCCTCTATTCATCTCTCAGGCCACAGGTGGGTACTACAGCATCCAGCCCCTAGGGGGTCTGGGTTGGGGAATGTCAGATTGTAAGGGAGGGAAAACAATCTTTCTCTATACATTAGCAAACCTAAATGGTTTGCAAATTGGGACTCTGCAAATTAAACTGATGAAAGATTAGCAAGAGGGAAACAGAAATGTATTTTAGGCCATGCTTGTATTGCTATAAAGAAATACCTGAGACTGGGTAATTGATAAAGATACTTAATTGGCTTATGGTTCTGCAGGCTGTGCAGGAAGCATAGCGTATCTCTTGTGGAGACCTCAAGAAACTTTCAATCACAGTGGAAGGCCAAGGGCGAGCAGCCATGTCACGAGGCGAAAGCAGGGGCAAAGAGAGAGGGTGAGGGAGGAGGTGCCACACACTTTTAAATGACCAGACCTCTTGAGAACTCAGAGAGCTCACTTATCACCAAAGGGATGGCCACGTGATTCAAACACTTGCCACCAGGATGCACCTCCAAGATTGGGGATTACATTTCAACGTGAGATTTGGGTGGGAACAAATGTCTAAACTATGTCATTTCTTAACGCATGCATTGTGCATACACATGGGAGAAAGTTGGTGATGACTACCTCAAAGGGGTGCTTGAAACTTTGACTTGCATTGCATCTTAGCAAAGAACAACAGTTATGTAGAGAACTGACAAGACAAAGGAAAGTCCCTTTGGGCTTCTAGGAGAGGCAAATTGAGGAAGATAAATACATGGGGAAAGAAACCGTTGAT